AGCTTCCGAACAGGACCACTGCGGCAGGAATTTGCGGCAGCGTGTTGGCGACTTCGACCTGGGAGAGCGGTTCGGACATCTGTTGCGATGATTTAATTACGGCCGATGATGATGCCGATACTATGGAACCGTGCACGGATTGGGGCATTGTGAATGAAGTACGTGGCGAGAGTGATTTGGAGGAATCGGATTGCGAGAACGACAAAGCTCTGGAGCCAGTGCCTCATGCAGCTTATGCCACGGGCCTCGGCGAACGAGCAGCCTGCCGTTTTAAATGAACTCGAGACCGCCCTTATCGTTTCTGCTCTTCAAAACACTTGCATCACGGACTTTTTAGGGCAAAAAAAGTTTGTGTTTTCACTCGCAACTTTTTTTAAAACCTGTGTTTCATTTACTACGCACTTCGGGATACAGCAAACGGATGCCGCGTCACGCTCAAGTTTGTTATAAGCAGGCTCGACTGTACAACAACCTCAGAAGAGAACAGCGCTTCGAGATAGGTAATAGCGCACTAGAAGTTGTAAAAGACTATGTCTACTTAGGACAGGTAATAACGGTGCAACCAAATCGTAAGATCGAAGTAACTAGGAGAATAAAAATGGCGTGGAGCACATTTAGCGAGCGCTCTCAAATCATGACAGGTGGATTGCTACTATCCCTAAAGAGGAAAGTATATAACAGCTGCACCTTGCCGGTACTTAGTTATCGAGCAGAGACTTGAAGACTTTTAATGAGGGTTCAGCCTAAATTGAGGACGACGCAACGAGCGATGGAAAAAAGAAAATGGCAGGTGTAACCTTAAGAGACAAAAAGAGAGCAGAGGGGATCAGGGAACAAACCGGGGTTAAGGATATCATACACCCAAACCTCATTGTAACAGTCATATCCACCAAGAAAATACTTCGTTACATTTGGAAATTCGTTATAAATGATTATTTGGAACATTGTATTTGCGGCAAAGCCATTGGTCACTTCGTTATGATGGATAATTCATTATATCCCAATTCGTTATATCGAGGTTTGAGTGTAGTTGAAATCAAGAAGAGGAAATAAACATGGGCCGGGCATGTAGCGCGTAGACAGGGTAACGGCTGGTCGTTAAGGGTAACTAACTGGATTCCCAGAGAATTGATATGTGGGGTTAGGATTCCCAGAGAAGGCAAGCGGGTTAGGGGGTGACAGAAAGTTAGGTGGGCAGATGAGATTAAGAAGTTTGCGGGTATAAATTGGCAGCAGCAGGCACAAAACCAAGTTCACTGGCGGAGCATGGGAGAGGCCTTTGTCTTGCAGTGGACGTAGTCAAGCTGATGATGATGATGATGGTGGTGGTGGTTTACAGAATAGGTAGTTTGTGTTGCAAACAAACAATCTGGTTTTTCAAAAACAGACTTTTCATGATCTTTTGGTTTTCAGGGGCCACGTCCCTCCTTAAACGCTGTATGGTCGCTGAAAGCCAAATCTTCTACCGTCTATTTGCATGCTTCGCTCCATCTACTTGGCACCCGCCTTCACTACCGATCCGCTTGCGGTATAAAACGCTCACTTCGCTTCAGACTATGCACATATGCGTGAAGTAACCTGCGGGCCTAATGCAATGGTATAAGCAGATGGGATTTCAGGTAAATGCCTGTTTTGTTCCTTTAATATACCGTATTTACTCGCGTAATCCTCGCACTCGCATAATTCTCGCACCCTCGCATCGCCCAACAAAAGTGCGATTTCTTTTTTTCCTCGAGTAATTATCGCACCCCCTAAACTGCCGCAATAATGTCGTCTGCTTGTTACAACCATTGATGATGATAGCGTGCGCCATCTGGCTCCATCTCTTACGCATTAAGCGTACTATTATCGCACAAAAATCCAATTCAAGCCAAGCCAAACAGGCAAGTGTGCGTTGCGGCGTTTTATACCTTGTGTCGGTAATCTTGCCATGTTATGACGCGATACTGATGCTACACGGCTGATTTCAAGTCGAAAGTGATAGATCATGCACTAAACAACGGCAACAGGGCCGCCGGAAGGCCCTTCTGAGTCTACGAGTTTTGTGTTCGCTACTGGTGACGGCAGCTGAAAGCCACCAAGACGAGTTGGGCCTGCCATGTGCGTACCAAAGTGGGATTGATGGTAAACTTTATTTCTTCAGAAGGAAACTGCGGATGATTGTGTTAAGTGGCCATCAGCCCAATACTGACGTCCTACGCTTACCTTTTGAGTGCTTCCATTGAGCGAGGAACGCTACCGCCCACAAGCTTTGTGTATGGTGCGTCACGCATTCCCGACTATTTGCTCGCACTTTTTGTGTCTCAAATAAATCTTGCCTTGTGTTGAACCTGTGCTTTTAAGTTTTATTTAGTACTTTTCAAAGCTTGCTGTTAGTTGCTGGTGTGAGAATCCTGATTTGCGGCCACTTCGTTTTCTTTTTCTCTCTGTACGTTTTCGTGGAAAGTTTTCCCCATGTAATTCTCGCACCCCCCAACTTTGCATCGGTTTTCCGCCAAAAAAAGTGCGAAGATTATGCGAGTAAATACGGTATGAGCACATATTGAAGGTTAAGGAGGGCTTTTATAGTGTTTTTACAGTACCTATATATGCCTATTTTAAGAATTTGTGCCAATGTCAACACTATTTAACCCTAAATTTTCCTTTCGAGTAAAGTTTCAGACCGTTATACATGTTACTAGGTGAAATTGACTTTTCAGAATTCTATGAGCTGCAACCTAGTTGAACAGATTCCTGAAAAGCAACCGCCAGCAGCCATGAAATAAGACTCCTCGGGCACCTGACACAACATGGCGTGAGTGGTCATAAGAGAGCGAGGACACTATTTCTGCAACCTTAAATGGCGCACATCGAAGCAGTGGAGACGAAAAGAAAAGTAGGAAGAAGAAAGGAAGAAAAGAATTTGGGGCCGGGGACGTTTTCCACTGCAGTGTTTCCAAGAAAATGAAGCATCTTCTTAACAATATCATTATTATGTGGCGTCTTACATCCCAAAACTACGATATATCGTATTTACTTGTAAAAGGAACGCACTCGTATAACAAATGAACCCCCAACTTCAGCTGTCAAAATTTGGATTTGTTTTCCCCCGCATAATAAATGCACTCGCTACACCGCTTCAGTCCCACTAACCAACACATCGTGCTCCCTTGCCCATTAGTTTTTATTATGCTGACCCCCCTTGGCCGCTCCTTCCCCCGCTGCCGCGTGCCGTATTGTGTTTCTCTCTATCTGTGCGTGGCACGTTTCCACTCTTTTTTTAATTATCTATGTTCCACAGCGGGGTCCACTAACGGTACGAGTGTGGAGACATCGCAGCTGATAAGCACGCAGCGAGCCAAGGTTGGAAGAATTTGTAGAAAGAACTAATGCGAAACTGTGAAGTGCCATCAGAAGGGGAAGAAAAAATTCAGATGTGCACGTGGCTTTTGTTTTGTTGGTAAGTTTAGCTCTTAAAACGTCACTGAAAAGGTTTTGTGTCCATAAATTTATTGCGAATGCGGTATCCGCAACCTCTTATAAGATGTCTGCGGAGGTTTTTTTCGTGAGGTTCAATTAAGCAACGGCGCTATAAGCGAGGAAAGTTTGACCAAAAGAACGCTCCCCCCCCCCCCCCGCCTCCTTGTACATGCGTGCGCAGGGGTGGAGCACGGGAGAGAAAGACACGTGGGGAAGTGATGTCATTGTCAGGGTTGAGCCGCCGTTCGGCAGGCAATTTTGTGCCAGGCCGCCTGCTTCGTTCAGTCAGCTCAGCTTGTTTACTTCGCAGTTGTTCCTTGTTTCTGCTGCGATCTGCTGCCTGGTGAAGAATCAGTTCTGCCGTTTTGTAGGAATTTCTCGCCATCACTCCGTTCTCTTCTGATTAGAGATTTTTGCTATCCGACATTCATTAGTTGTGTTTGTGCAAGGTTGAAGTGGACTCGCGTTGCCGAGCGACTGCCCGGCAAATGGCTGCCGCTGCACTTACGGTCACGATGAAGTCGCTTTTCACAAGTTTCCTCGGAATCGGAAGATGGCTGTAAAATAAGCCGCTGCAGCTAAAAAAAAATACTTCGAAAATGAAGCACGCTGTGGTGCTCAGGAATCTGACGAGTTTCGAGACAGTAGCAGCACTCCTTTTTTGCAGTAGCAGCACCAACGCGAGCGCCATTGCCCTCGCTAGAGCAACCGGGTCTTGGTCCCGGTGTCTCCGTGAATTACCTTTACCACGAAGACGTGCTCGTGGCACCCTGTGTAGTACTTTTATGCCCGTGGCGTGGATATGCCTATTTGCTTTCCCGCCGCGCCTTTGCAACGGGCTGTATTGCGTTTGGCGTTGCCACAGACAATAAAGTGTTGCGACCCTGAGCAGTATCGTGTTCTCGCCACGGCGACGGTTAACGCGTGCTCTGCGGCTCGCTGAGACCGGACCCACACTAGTGGCCGTACTCCTTCGGGATACGTGTCACTACACTGGAACCATGAGAATTTTCAGTAATGCACTGGATGTTGTTGCATGCCCAATGAAGAGCTTTGTACTCTAAGGATATTACAATTGGTTCCTTACGAGTCGCAGCCCCTGTAGACTTCATGAGTCAAATTTCTAGCTTGTTTGCCCCTTTTCGGTGTCGGAGCGACTCGAAGCCAGAAAATCACACGACAGAAAGGCTTGAACATGCCATGCACACACTGGGTTACGTGTGCATGACAGTGCCCCCCCCCCCCCCCCGAATTTTTTTCCCTGCAAAACAGAGCACGAAGTGACAATGACCGCATCTTTGGTTCCCACTTCAGATAAACGAAGTGCCCCCCTCCCTTCATGAAAGAAATCAGTTGCCATGGTGTATGCTTTTGAAAATTTGGCATTTACATTTCCAAAAAGTTTGAGCATTCACAGCATTCACGTGCTGCAACTGTACTAATTTTGAAAGTTGCACAGAGTGTGGAAAGGGTCACCACAGTTCAGCAAGTGACATTTATTCAACTTGTTTAACGCACGAGGGAATAACTGCACTGCCCAGGCATGACTCCTCAAGGTGCCAGGACCCCAGGAAGCGTGTCGTGCCAACAACCGACTAGTGCAACACCGCTGAGGGACAAACTGAACATCAACCCGGAAGATCACCTGGACTTTGATTCCAACCAGTCAGCCAAGCACTTTCAGGTTTGTATGCATCAACAAGAAGTGATCCTTAAGTGAGTACATGAATATTCCAGCTGCTGCACTGATTGAGTGCTTGTGCACACAATAGTTTCAAGCATTTCGGCATTGCCCCCTCGATCTCTTCCCGTCAGCACCTTTTCTCAATCGGCCTTCATTGTAGTGGGATGTTTTAAAGAAACTCTTGACCTACAATAATACTAACACCGATGAAGGGTCAGGTGAAACCCAGTACTTCTGAAGCAGTACTTAGTAAAAAACCAAATGTGTAGTACATTGCAGACTGCTTCTTACGCAGGGATGCTAGCGATGCGCCAAACTGCACCAAGGTGCCCTGGCTGCTACTAGAGCTGTGTGCCAGTGCTGTTTGTCTCATTTTAACCTGAGCGGGCAATTTGGGCTTAAATGCATCACTTCACCCTCTTTTCTGCAGCTTTAAGATTTTGATCAGTGGCGTTTGTGGTGTCTTGACTGCTCTCTTTTGTCCGTTTTTACATGCCCTGTACATATGAAAGCCCTAGAACAGCTTTCGAAGATACACAATACAGCTCCTATGTGATTTATGTGACATTAAATATTTTTGAATGATCTATATATGAGAAATATTAGTTGTACCGTATTTACTCGCATAATCTTCGCACTTTTTTTGGCGGGAAACCAAAGCAAAGTTGGGGGGTGCAAGAATTACGCGGGGAAAACTTTCCATGAAAATGTACACAGCGAAAAATAAAATGAAGTGGCCGCAAATCGGGATTCTCACACTAGCAACTAACCCCCGAATGCAGAGATGTTACTTGGCTCGCGACTTCAACATAACTTGAGCAAGTCGGCATGAAGCAAGGAGCGGATTTCAAAACGCCCAAGTCAGCCTTCGCATTTCATAGATGCTCAGGCTTTCATAGATGCTCAGGCTGTCTTGCTTGGTCAAAACAAGAACGAGCTTCAAAGCCGAAACACGCTGCTCGCCTGCTAACGAGAGTATCAATGAAGTTGTTCGCGTAAGGCATGCATTACATCAAAAAAAGACCATACGTTTTAAAATAACTATAAAAACGAAGGGCCACAAGCATATTCCTGCCATTTTACGGCTAACGAGTGGCACGTGGTGCCTGCCGCCACAGCGATGTGCCGTGTTGCTTCTGTAAAGCGTTCGTTGCCCGCTGGTTTTAGTGGCCACCCAAATGCGGCGCGTTTCTCCAGGGTTGCTTGTTTGAAGGCGAAGAAAGCATGGCGTTGGGTTCTTTCGTCTTTTTTTTTTTTTCCAATCGAACGCCACAGCATGTATTTGTGCTGACCTGGCTCACGAGGTGATGCGATTTTCATGGTATTTGCCTTTCTGTTCGCCTGTGTGCATGCCTGTAGTTGGCTAAGTCGCAGTTGTATATGAAAAAAAAAAAACAAGTTCTGGGAACAAATGTGATTCGTATCCTTTTGTTGAGCTTGGTAAACAAGAGAAAAAGCGGGGGTCAGGACATTGCCCTCAGCAGAATTCTGTCTCGCGGGGTGCAGCAGTGTCTCGCTGCATGACGTTGAATCGGATAAAAAAAACCCGTGATAGGGGCACCTCTTTTTTATGTGTGTGGAATTTTACGTAGCGTTGTGCTTCAAGCGATGCCTTCCTTAGCGAGAAACAGCTCTCTAGACGGGACGAAAGGATAGACGAGGCACACAGACACAGCACCGAGTCAATATTGTACCGAAAGAGGCGGAAATTGGCGTCGTGTTTAAGAAAAACAGAAATGGCCTTTGCGCTTACAAAACACTTCGGTGTCGTCCCCACCGAAGCTATTGATACGCACGTGTGTGTAGTCGACACAGCCTGTAACACCATGGAACTCAGCCACTCCATAAAAGTCCCGCTTAACTATAGAAAGTGCTGCCGGCTACGGAAAGCGCACCAGCATCGCGTACAGGTGCTTTGCGACGAGTAGCGTAACTTTTCCTACTGCACGGCAAACTGTCGACTACGGAATGCGGATGAGATTCCCGGTGACTGTTTGGAATGTGCCAGCACCGTAAAACCCGAGAGCCATCAGTAGCTGTAACACTGGGGGCACAGGCTGTCCTCGGTTGTCCCCATTTTCACGGAGCGGCAACATACCAAGCAGCTGCCGCACGGTGTTCTTCGTGAATCTGTATCGAGCGTCGAATTGTTCCTCGTCGTACAACTCCATCGAATTTCCTCGGTCACGTAAAGCGGGTCCAAGAATATTCTGCAGGCAGTGCGCCTCAGAAAATGCTATGCTTATGGCGAGGCAAGCAAACTCAAAAGCGGTCACCCTCCGCGCATCGTCCATTCGAGAGGTGGCCATGTTGGAATAACGCATGAAGTCGCTTTCAAGCTAGCCCCGCAGCTGACTTGAAACTTGTCCTGACTTCGACCGAGCCAAGTCGCCTTCAAGTCATCCGCAAGTTCGAGAGCGATTTACGGTGACCGGCAAGACTGTCTTGAGTCAAGAACGAGTCAAGTACGAGTCAAGTAACGTCTCTGCATTTGGGGGTAACAGCACGCTTTGAGAAGTACTAATCGAAATTTTCCTCAACAATAAAAGCAGAGGTTCAGCACAAGACAAGATTTATTTGAGACACAAAAAGTGCTAGCAAATAGTCGAGAATTAGAATACCATATGCAAAGCTTGTGGGCATTGCGGGCATAGCGGTAGTGTTTGTCACTCAACAAAAGCCTTCAAAAGGCATGTGTAGGATGTCAGTATTGAGCTGACAACTATTTAACAGAATTGTCCACAGTTTCCTTCTGAAGAAATAAAGTTTACCATCAATCCTAGTCTTAGGCACACGGCAGGCCCAACGCGTCTTGGTGGCTTTTAGCTGCCGTCACCAGTAGCGAACACAAAACTCGTCGACTCCGAAGGGCCTACCGGCGGCCCTGTTGCCGTTGTTTAGTGCGTGATCATTCACTTCCAACTTGAAAGCAGCCGTGTAGCTTCAGTATTGCCCAATAACGCGACAAGATTTCTGACACCACATACAAAACACGCCGCTACGCACACTTGCCGCTTCAACTTGGCTTACATTGAATTGAATATTTGTGCAATAATAGTACGCTTGATGCTTAAGAGATGGCACCAGATAATGTGCGCATCATCGTCAGCGGCTGGAACAAGCAGATTACATTATTGCGGCAATTTTCAGGGGTGCGATAGTTACTCGAGGGAAAAAAAATCGTATTTTTGTTGGGCGATGTGGGGGGTACGAGAAATATGCGAGTGCGAGGATTGCGCAAGTAAATACTGTAAATAACAGAGCGTAGCCTACAAGCTCGAAGTCCTGTTAAGCTCACATATTATACACATGCTTTGTAAAGACTTTTAAGAATTGTAGTGAAGAGTGTGAAGTGGAGCATAATGGAGAACCATACCAAAGGCCCATGGTGCCATAAAGAAATACTTAATCTCACTAGTCGAATAAAGCACTTATTTGAGATTCCCACTGTAATAATAATGCTTCTTTATTTAATGATTAGGAAAGCAAATATGAAGCTAAATGTAAAAGGCTAAGGACTACTACTTTACCAGTGCTTTTGCTACATTTATGAAAAAAAAATTATAGATCGATTAGCCTTGCATGGTCTATGCCCTAATCATGTACTCTTGATGGCCAATCCTCCACAAATCTTACATCTATCTGCTCTTCCTAATAATAAATTAAGCTCCACCAGAGTACATAGACTTATACTAAACAATCTGGCCCAGATGATAATCTACATATGTTTCTAAAGTGGTATTCAGAATAGTGTGCTCTCTCTCTTACTGTAATATGTAAAAAATCAATAATCTCTGCAGCAGCTTCCCTGCTCTGGAAATATGGTAACTACAGTAGAATCTCGATGATAGGAATTTGAAGGAAGTGCGTTAATTATTCGTATCGGCCCGAATTATTATGAACCAAAAACAACTTAAAGCTGATAAAAAGATGAACAAGAACTTCGTTGGCAACTACAACTTGCCGAAAAACTTCTGTCATGTTATTTTAAACTTTCCTGCTTTCACTGTCTCTTAATTAAGTGCAGCGGTTTCCTCGCTCATGCTGCTGGCGCAGCATATTCACAGTTGACATCAGAGCAAGCGAAAGCGGCCAAACTCATTGGAAATGTACTCCCTTCCCTGCTTAAGCAGCCAAAAAACCGCGCCGCGAAGTCGGCACAAAAAAAAATGAGTCCTGGAGAATTCAAGCGAAAATGCCAGCGTGGTCGGAAAACCAAGTGCGCGCCCGCGAAAACATTTACATTCGCTCTGCCCGTCGGTATGCATTGTTATGAAGCATGATGCCAACACGGTCCCGAAGGCGCTACTGCTCCGAAACTCGCCACTGCCAAAGTCACCTGCCATTTGGTAGCGTGTGTTTCTCAGCTTGCGACTGCTTCTGCACAGAGCTGTTAACGAGCCGACAAGACGACGTTGAGTTAAGGGGAGATGCTCCTCGAAATACTTTTTCTTCAGATATTTGTGACAGCTCAATGAAACTTTCCCCAGTTACAGAGTTCAAGCTCCTCTTTTCAAAACTTCTTTTATTTTTTTATGGCTCATTTAGTTAATTTTTTGCAGACCATGCATTTGTAAAAACAATACATTTCTGTGCAAGCTTAGGCAACAGTAGTAAGCACAAGAAAGCTCTAAAAAATTGCAAATGTTGCTCCTAATTAATTGCAGAATTCAATAAAGCAAAGAAACATTGTGTAGCATTTGTGTACTGGCCTAGAAAAGAATTCTAATGCTGAGTTCGTGTTTTACCACACTCAAGGAACAAGGTTCTAAAATTATCCAGTTGAATATCATTTGGAGACCTTTGAAAGTTGTTTATTTGAATTCAGGACATGTTAAACTTTAAGCATGCCAAGTTTCATTGCAATCCGACTTTGTAAAGCGTACAAGTTATAGTGCACAAGCTCTAAAAATGCCGAAAAATGAGGAACTGATAAAGAGAGGTTTGAAAGTTCAAAAACATGTCTAAACTGTACTCTTAAACATACATACATACATACA